GTCCTCGCTCACGCGCCCCCCCTGCCCCCCCCCGCGGTGCGGCCACTGAGGAGTAGAAGGGAAAGGGGGCTGGGGTGTTGGGGAGGTGGGAGGTGGGAGGGGAGGTCTCCTCCGAGGCGCACTGACCCCGGGCGGAGCCGAGCTGGGTCCGGGGAGGTCTACACCCGGGGCTGGGGTGGCCACGGAAGACCGTGACAGCGCCCGAAAGATGCCCCGAGGGGCCCCCGGCCCCGTGCAGCGTGGGGAGGAGCAGCAGAGGGTGTCGGGGTCGAGTTGGGCGGTCGGCAGAAATGGAGTCTGTGTGGCTGAAATGACAGCACTGAGGGGGGTTAGGGCCGGCTTCTGTCTCATCTGACGCCCCACCAGGCCTTCCCCGGGGCGGATTCCTGAAAAGGGGGGTCTGGAGCCCTCGGGAGCTCTCCCGGTCTGCATGCCCGCGGGGGAGCAGCTGCAGCCCCGGGCTGATCGCCCCTCCATGCTCTCCGTGCGCTCTCTCTCCAGCTGCTGCTTGTGAAGGCTTGTCAGGCAGCGGGTTGGAGGCCTTGGGGCTGCAGGCAGCGGGACCGGGAAAACCGGTTTGGGCTAGAACAGGACCGGGGAACTACCTCTGCACATCCTTCCTCCCGGAACCTTCTCCCATCCCGTCTCCCGCTCACCCCCCAGCGGCTCCGCAGCTGCTCAGCCCTGAGCTCCGGTGACCGTGGTGTCCCCCCAGCTCCAGTTCGCCCTTCCTATTTGGGACTTGGGCCCGGTTCTCGGAACCACCCGACTGTCAGGATGTGGACCTCTGCGCTCTAACCCTGACCCCTCCTGCTGTTTCCCCTTCACGGCGGGATGGAAAGAGTGGACAGTGGGCTTGGCACCTCTTTTAAAGAAGGAGCCAATCACTCTTACTTTTCTGGCCTTGTTCTCCCCACCCTCCCAGCCCCAATTTCACCCTGCCCGGGTTTCTCCACACGCTGACACACACCCCCTTCCTCCCCCGAGTTTTAGGCACCCGGAGGTCCTGTGTCCTGTGTCCGAGGGAATGGAATTTCCTGGTCACTTCGCATCCTCATGGGTCATTTCATGCCAAGTCCCACACACACACTTTCCCTCCACCCAGCTCTGGCCAGGTCCCTGGAAAAGGAACAGAACCGTCCTTGTTCCCTCCGTTGCCCCATTCCCTCTCCCTCTCTCCTCTCCCCCTCTCCCCCTCTTTTCTTCTCTCTCCTCCCACCATCCACTTCTGTCCACTCAGCTTTGAGCCAGGGGGGTGTTGGGGAGAGTCCAAGCTCAGTGCAGCCTGTCTGGTGGTGTTGGGGGTTTCCTCTCATTCTTCATTGTTGTCTCCGTCACCCCCCACCCCTGCCTCCAACCCTTACCACAGGCTGCCGCAGCCATCACTACAAACCCTGTGACTGACTTCCCCATTGACCACAGCTCCCCTCTCTGGACAGCTGTGTTCTGACTTCCACCCTGTCTCATAACTCCTCCCTCCAGCGGTGGGAAGGGAAGTAAGAGAAAGGACCCGGGTCCTTCCCTTCCTTAGAAGCTGTATCTCAGTGTTTGTGTGATCTCATCTCGGGGCTTTTTAAAACACCACCAACAGCTACTCAGTTCTTAGATCCGTCTAGGTTGCCAGAGCTTCAGGGTTCAGGGCCTGGGACTGGAGGGACAGGAGGTTCATATTCATGCATTTATAGTATTTCTCAAGCTGCCCTGTGTGGAAACATTGAGCTTGCCTGTGTTACAGGACTGCGGAAACGCAGTGAGTACAGAGAAACTCAGCTGTGCCCTACCCTGGCTGGCAGTAATGAGAGTTCTTCCTGGGGCACTAATGCTTTGGAAAGTTCCTTGGGTCTGGTTGGGGATGGAAGTGGTGAGGAGGGAGGAGAGAACAGGTCACAGCATGAGGGGAGGAGAGGGGGGGAGAGAGAGGCGGGCGCGGAGCAGAGTGGCACGATAGGACATGTGAAGAGGGCGGGGAGGCTGGAAAAAGATTCCTCCTGGCCTGCAACCTGTGCACAAGTCACACTCGGAGATACGGCCATGCCACAGGGGTGCACGTGCAGGGGTGCAGTGACATAGGACACAGAGAAACAGTGTGTGCAGCCTTGAGGCAAGATCTCAAGGTCAAGTCATAAAGGCACTGCTAAATGTCTTTGGGAGGGGTTGGATCTCAGTTGAGGGAAAGGAGGAGGAGCAAGGGCAGAGAATAGAAAGAGAGGGAAGGAATTCCTCACTGTGGCAAGTCTTTCTGGAGGATCAACCTGCTGTACTTAGTTACCTAGGACTTAGGTGGTCAGGGTCTTAAAGGAAATGTAGGTGCTGAGGGTAAGGTAAGGAAAAGGGGGGGAGGGACAGGGGCGGAGGCCTTGTTTGTGAGAACAAAAAAACCACCATTTCCTCTTCAAAGTCACTTCGCTGCCCCTCCCCTTCTGGCCTGTACCCAGGGAGAAGGGAGGTAGAGCTTGTAGTGCCCCCCAAAGTGTGCTCATTTATGCCAATATCCTTTGGTCCCCTCCCCTCCCATCATCCCAGATGCTTCCAGACCCCTTCCTCTCCCTTGGTGCCAGCAGCTGCTACGCCTTAACCCCTTGGTGCCCTTTGGCTCTTTTCCTTCCTTTGAGAGTCTCACTGAGGTTCTGCCGTTTGAGGTTAGTGTTGGGCACAGGACTAGGGCTTTAAAGGGAGACCCCGAGTCTGAGCTCTTCAGGAGGCTTCTCAGAGAGGGAGGGACTCCCCATTAACCTTTCTTCTCTCTCTCCTTTCTGCTCCTCCAGGGTTCCAGGCCTGAGGAAGAGGACCGTGCGCCTGCCTGCCCACCTCACTCCCTGGCCCTGCTGGTGTCTCAGGGTCTGAGACACGGGCCTTTCCTGCCCAGCTGAGGTTCCGAGGACTCTCCTTTCTCTAGCCCTGTCCTGTGGCGTGAACCCAGGGTGTTGCGACACCCGAAGGGAGTGAGAAGTGGGCGGTCAAGGCACCAGGGCAAGAGCCCTCTGGGGCCTCGGGCTGCAGAGTGAAACTGGAACCATCAGGGAACATGAGTGAATTTTGGCACAAACTGGGCTGCTGTGTGGTAGAGAAACCCCAGCCGGTGAGTCTCCCCGCCCCCACCCCGCACGCACAGAAATCAGTTACCGTATCCTGTGAGGTTGGCTCACCGTCTAGGACCTGCAGTCTAGAAAGCACTCGTCTAGCCTCCCTCTGTCGGGATCGTTTCAGTGGTGAGGCAGGTGGGTACCACAGTAAAGGGGGACTGGGTGATGGGAGAAGTGAATAGTCCCAGCTCTCACTTCCTGTTCCTGTCCCTTCTGAGGTGGGTGGGGGTTGTAGGTGGAGCTTAATACCTGTCAGTTTTCCCCATTGTTTCCTCATCAGCCAGGGGTGACTTTGATGTGTCCTTTCTTTGTCCAGTATTCACTCTGCCGGCCACTGCCCTCACCGCCCTGCCTGTGTCCTCTCTGTGTTATTCCAGCCTTGCCTTTCACACCCGAGTGATTTATTTCCCTATTGTAACGCCATATTCCCTTTCCTACCGGGCCTTAGCTCTCCCCTTAGTGGTTTTCAAGACTCTTTTTTCCTTCCTCCACTGTGACTGCAGGAGGGGCTTTCAGACATAACTCCCCTGTTTTCTCCAAGCAGAAGAAGAAGAGGAGACGGATCGATCGGACCATGATTGGGGAACCAATGAATTTTGTCCACCTGACTCACATTGGCTCCGGGGAGATGGGGGCCGGAGATGGCCTTGCCATGGTAATAAGGGAATGTTTGATATGGGGTTGTGGCCTAGAACGGTTCCTCTTTGAAAGTTCGAGCAGGGGTCATAACAGAATACTTGATGGGGAAGTAAGCAACGAGGATTCTAGTCCCGGTCACCAGTTGGGTAAACCTGGGACCTTGGCATTTCAGGTCTCTGGCCTAGGCTCCCTCATCTTTACAGTTAACAGATTGTTATTAATTGGGGTGGGAGATAGATATGTCTTTAAGAGTTACTTGGACGGCTTTTTCCAAAAACCGTATCCCTTCCTTCTATTCATTAAGAACTGCTGTCTCGGTGCTATAGTAAGTCACATTGTGGTTGGGATGTTGGGGCAGGAAAAAGGCCCAGCACCTCTGTCCTAAATAACATCTAATATGTATTTTGCTCTCAAAATAAGGGAAATGGGGGTGGAGATAGTGAAGGAGTCTTTTCACCAATTGCAGAACTTAGATAACGATGGTAGGGTCCTTTGTGGGAGGATCTTATAAGTAAAAGAATACTTTTTTTTTTTTTAAGTCCTCACCCAAGGACATGCTTTTAATAATTTTAGAGAGAGAGGAAGGGAGAGGAACATTGATATGAGAGTGAAACATCCATTGGTTGCCTCCTGCACATGCCCCGATGGGGGAATCGAATCCATGACCTTCCGGTGTATGGAACCATGCTCCAACCAACTGAGCCACACCAGCCAGGGTGTAAGAGACTAATTTTTGTCTCATCCTCACAAAGGTCAGTGTGAAGGGAGGCGTGGGAACCTCCCTTGGAGGAATGGTGATTAATTTTAACCTTCCCAGATGATTTTATCTTCAAGGGGATGGGGTCAGCCTCTTCCGTGGAGGGCACAGGGGAGGTTTCTTACTGTGAGACATGAAGACTTGGGAGAGTTTCACATGTGCTTTTCCACAGACAGGTGCTGTTCAGGAGCAGATGAGATCCAAGGGAAACCGAGACAGGCCATGGAGCAATTCTAGGGGCTTGTAGCTCCAACAGGAATGGTGAGTAAATAGAGAGCACCTCCAGCACCTGCTGAGGCTCTGCCTTGGAACCCTGATCCTCTGCAAGAAAGGGAATCAAGGGAAGGAAGAATTAGACCGGGAGAGGTGGTAACGTGGGATCCAGAAAAGCAGAGAGAAAGGGATGTGCAGACAGGAATAGAGAAAAGAGCGCACTATGGAAATGGTCTGCACTAGGTGGTGCCTTTCTCCCCGAGACCTTGGTTTTCTTTGAGAGGGAAACCGAGACAGGCCATGGAGCAATTCTAGGGGCTTGTAGCTCCAACAGGAATGTTTTGCTGTCTGAAGTCTCCACGCTGTTCCCAGCCCAGAAGAGATGCTGCCTCCACCAGATCCTCCGAGAACCAGTGTCTTCAAGGCCCCTTTTTTTCCTTATCTGCCTGATAGTGCCTCAAAAGGCTTGGGGGCTGGACTCCCCCCTCCCTCCTCTGGCTGTAGCCCCACCTGGAGATGGGGTCAAGGCAGCAGGACTGACCAAGTAACTACTGGTTGGCCAGAGGAGCTCAGCTGAAGCCCTGGACACTCTCAGATCTGAAATGGGAGTTTCTGGAAACCTGGAATGAGTTCCCTCCTCCTGAATGACAGTCTGGGTGCCACCTGTTTTTAATCTATTAGCCTGAACTCCTTAAATGGCAGGTGGGTGAGGTTACCAAGCTGGAGCTGGCTTTGCTGAGAGCTCCCTACCTCTCTGCCCTTCTCCTTCCTTCTGGAATGAACTGAAGCAGACCTCAAGCAGGGGCTGGGAGGGTGACCACTGCCTAGTCGACTCTCTTTAAATCTCAGACCTTAAACTCACAGCCCTTCAATATCTCTCTGCCAATACCAGCGTCTTTCTCTAGTTAGGCCTCTAACCCTGTTTCTGTAGCATTGCTAGCTCCCCAGTATCTTTCCTTTTTAAAAATTAATTAAAAAGTAAATTTAAGATGCATTCTCGTAATTACCCCCACTCTGCTACTACCTCCGTCCTTACCCTCATTCCTGTTAGAAACCTTATTGTTTCCCATTGAATAAGACTTAAGAGATGGGTCTTAACCTGATGACATTCCAGTTAGATCTTGGGGACCTGGCCTGCCCTCTGCCAACCTCCCTGCTGGCCCAGGTGAGAGGAAGAAGAGGGAGCTGGAGAGAAATCCAGATGGCAGCGAAACTAGGAGTTATGTCTCAGGTGGACTTCCTTCCTGACCCTGGAGGATGGAAGGTGGGGAGACGAATTGGTTGAAAACAATCACCTGGGAGTTTAGGAATCTTAAGATCCTCACAACCTGGGCGCAGGGAGACAGCAAGGTTTCTCAGTCTGGACACTTTTGACATTTTGGGCTGGATCATTCCTAGTACTGGGGACTGTCCTGTGCATTATAGGATGTTTAGCAGTGTCCCTGGCCCACCCTAGTTATCACACCCAAAAATGTCTCCAGACATTGCCAAGTGCCTCCCAGGGGAGGCAAAAGCACCCCAAGCTGAGAGCCAGCGCTCTAGAATCAACACATTTTTCTCGAGTGATTTTTGTCCCCTACCGCACCCCCATCCCATTATTCATCCTAAGCCTGAGCCTTGATGAACTAGACCCCCTGTAAACTAGGCTTAATCGTCTCCAACAGTTTTTTACTCATTGTGTTGCTTGTGCTTGCATGGGTTGCTTGTGATGGACATGCTTCTCCCTTCTTGCTCGGTGGAGGAGGGGTTCCTGCAGTGGTGGGATTGGGGAAGGGAGGGAGAGAAAAGCAGTAGAGCCATAGGCACCCCAGCGCTGTTCTCCCCAAACTTGAAGCTCTATTTCTGTGCCCTAGTCCTGGAACCAGACACAAATAAGACTCAGGGAGTTTTGTCTGAAGAACTCTCCACCTGGCCGAAGAGTCTGCTTTAGGTGGGGAAGTAATGGAGGAGCAGGGTCTTCAGGCACTTTCCGTTTTCTCAGGTGTGTTTTGTCCTGCCCCCTTCCTCGCAGGGAGATGAGGAGGCAGCACAGGACAGATGAGCTCCTGCCTGCTCTGTGTCCAGAACGCAGGGGTCTCTCAGTAGCTCAGTAGCAGGAAGCATGGTGGTAGTGGGGGGTCAGGAATGGGGGAATGAGGATCCACTCTGCCAATTCCACCATCTATGAAGTTTGCCCCCAGCTACAGTGACTGAGGTTCTAATTTTTTCAAGTTTCAGTGTATTTTCTAAAGTTTTCCAAGGTCTAAGATTGCTCATAGAGGTAACATTCCAAATCTACTCTGTGCCAGTCAAGCTAGTTGCTCTGAAAGTAGTTCATCTTGCCCCAAAAGTAGCTCAATAGCATGAGGGTTTTACTAGATCTACAGGGTTGACAGGATCGGGTAGGAAGATGGAGGCTCCTGGAATCTGGTCACTCTGATCTTTTAGCCTCATTCTTAGGCCAGTTCTTTGGACACAATCTTTTCTTTGGTTCTCTCTCTTTTAATTACCTTCTCTTATGTGTGTGCTACCATCACTTTAACAATATCTAGAGTGATGGGAATAGGTTTGAGAGTCATAATTTATATTGAAAAATTGTTGGACTTCTAAATATACTTTTCAAATAAAAAGTTGAAGCAAAATAGTCACAGAGTAATCACTACAGGTGTATATTGGATTAAACGATAGATACGGCTGATGAAGTGGTGAATGTGGGATTTTGTACCATTGTCCTTTCTGAGGAGAAAAGAAGGCTAAGTATTGTGAAGGCAAGACCACCATCATCTAAGGGCTCAACTCCTGCTGGGCATTCATCTGAGATTTTTCAAAAGAAGTACTTGTTTAAAAAAAAAACTCTGGAAATAAGGAAGATGAACAACAACCATTTTATCCTGGGGGACAGGAGAAGCCCAAGCCAGATGCTGCTAGCTACCCAGTTCAGTTTCACAAAATTTTTGGTCTCTCCTCCTTCAGATACCTCTGTAAAAAGACACAAGACTAAACAATTTTTTTTTCTAGTTTTGTTTTTCTGTACTAAAAATACCCAGTGGGTGCTGGGATTGAAAGGGGAGGAGAGGTTGAGATGCTGACACCTCTTCTTGCAGATCAAGTGGCCATTACCTCCGGTTTCTGTCTATCTGGGTAAGGAAACAAAATAGAGAAAAGGGGGAATATTATAATGACATCTATTTCGGTTTTTTTTGCTTGCTTCTCCCTCTGCCCACAAACCCTCATTCCCTCAACACTACTGCCCCCTATTGGTGCTTTTTTATATTGAATGATGGCTTTGGACACATAAGGAGAGACACAAAAACCATTAAAATGACCATGCATACATTTTATTGTCCTTCCTCTCTCCCCAAAGGTCCTGACATTCTGTCAACTGAGAATATTTTAGCAGGTCAATGAGAGCCTTCGGTGGTTCTTTTGGTAAAGCAGAGGCCTGTCCTTCCTTAAGAATTCTTAGGTTGCTGAGGATAATACCAGAACAATTCTTGGGGATAGTGATGGTTAAGAGCATCGATACTAGAGTCAAATCTGGTTTAAGTTCTACTGTAACTCTGCCACTTACTGGCTTAATAAACCCCCATTTCTTCCGTTGTAAAGTGGGGATAATAATACCTCATAGGCTGTTGCAGGATTGATCCAGGTAAAGTGCATATAGCAAGACCTCAAATATTGGCTGTTGTTGCTCTTAAACGGCATTAATAAGCTGAAAACTTAATTATCTTCCATATCCATTAATTATCTGCGTCAAGAATTCTTAACAATTTGGTCAATTATCATCTAGTGACCAATAATACATGTTGCCTAATGACCAACCAGTTGTTCAAGATGTAACAGGTGGAATCCATGGCCAACAATAACGTGAATAAACCAATGCATATTAGGAATCAGTAACCAGACAGATAAGTAGCAGTTCATGCAAGCACCCGGGCTGGTTCAGGACTTTGCAGAGCTATCGACAAAGATCCTGGCTCCTCACCAAACACTTACCGGTTGCATCTTGGTGAACACTGAAGAGAGGCTGTTCCAAATATCCTCCAGCCCAGCCCTGACCTGCCTCCAAAACATAAGCGCTGGGCTGGGGATGAGTCTGGTGCTGGGGGTGGGCATGGGGGTGGTGGTGGTGGTGGTGGTGGTGGTGGTGGTCTGAGTTTCAGACCAGAGGGCCGTGTCCAGGGGGCACTCCTCAAGACGCCGATCACAGCGACACTGCTGGTAGGTGCAAGGCCGGTGCTCTGTGCGGAGTTGGCTCAGCGCCCCAACTCGAAGGCGCCCAGAAAGGCCCTGCAGCCTCCCGGCCCGGGTCCTGCTCATGGTGCCCGACTTGCAGTGGCAGTGCCACGGGCCCCAGGGCATCAGCACCAGCCGCAGGTCCTCGGGAGGTGGCATGGATGAGGGTGAGATGCGAGACCAGCGCCTGGGGCTGGAACCTGCTGTTGACCAGCGGGTCAGGCTGGTGTCGTACAGCGGCTGGTGCTCAGTAGACCTCCAGCTGCTGGGCGGCAGGCTCGTGGTCAGCCTGTATTCCGGCTCCTGGATATTCGCTGCAAACCTGGAGGTGAACCTCCTCGTGGTGCTGGAAGCCGTGCTGTCAATCCCCGACTCGCTGTTATTCTTTTGGGCGTTAATCACAACCCCCTCCTCCAAAGACCCATCCTGGTCCTGCTCCCAGGAACGCAACCTGTTCATGTCCGTGGACACCGTGGAAGCCAAGAGCTCGTCAACGGCGGGGCCCGCCAGGCGGTCGGCAGTGGCCGCCACGTCATCCTCATCCTCCATTATTACCCTTCTCTTCGGGGGGACACCGGACCGGGAGGTGGGCCGGT